CTGGCTAGCTGGAGTCTGCCCTTGGAGAGAATCCCCACAGCCAGGTTAGGACAAGCCATAGAGTCATTCCCTGGGTGTGAGGGTAGGGGGAGTCCATGTCTGAGCAAACGGGATTTCAATCTGCAGGGAAGTGGGGAATGAATCTGATGCTTATATTCACAGGTTACAATGCATGGAATCAACTTTAAGAACAGACCACAGTAAGCATTGGTCTTGAAATGCTTTAACCCTGACATGTTAAAAAAAAAAAAAAAAAACAACAACAACATAGTTTAAAAAAACCCACTATGGAATGAATTCTAGTCTGCAGTACCACACTGAGAAACCCTGAAGGTCTTGAACGTGATGGGCAACAGTCTTGATGGACACATAGCACCTATTCTAGATCTCTTACCTCTGGAGGAGGTGTCCCACTGCTCCAAACACCTACCCAGGAGGGCAGAAGGGCACTCACAGGCACCCTGAGGGTCTGTTTCCAGGCTGGTGCCACACAGAATAGCAGCAGAGCAAGTCACAATGCAGGCTATCCGGGCCACCTTGTTTTCCCAGATCTCTCACCCCCCACCCCAGTTCAAACCTGGGGTGGGCGGGCACACCTGTACGAATTCTAGAGCGCAGGTTAGCCAAGGGAGAGTCCAGGGACCAGGGACCGCTACAGACAGAGATCTTGCCCTGGAGATTTTGGGGACAGGTGGAAGGGTCTGGAAATTCAGGCAGGAATACCCGGGAAGCCAGAAGGTGGCCCCCAAGTAGAAAGGCACTGTTGCCATGGTCTCTAGGTGAGAGGTGTTAAGTTGGTGCAGTTCAGATACCCACTGCTGGCTCCACAGTCGGCTCTGGGAGACACCTGAAGAAGAGTTTCCCCCAGCAGATGCCCAGATCTGGCAATCAGAGTGGCTGCTGGAATGTCTGCACTCCCAACCCCAGGCGTCTTTAGAGCAACGCTGAAGCCCAGAGACTCCCTTCACCTCAGGGAAGTTCTTCCCTGAGGGAAAGTGCTAACATCGCTAACATCGGTCCCCCAGAGCCTTCTCCATGAGCTTCAGGTTTCGATTCAAAACCTGATAAATCGTATTTAATGCTATTTTGAAATTTTTTAACGAAATTACTCAAAAGATTTTTTAATCCCGGATAATTTTGTTGTAACTCTAATTATACATAACCTTAATTACCAGTACCAGCCCCCTCCCCCAAGGATCTCTAATTGCCTCCTAATTGAATAAAACAGAGGGCTAATCATGCCCCCACCGAAGCTCTGTAAGCAGTCACAGCTGAGGCAGCGCCTCAGGGGCGGGGGCTCACTGCCACCCTTACCTAGCCTCTGCACAGAGAATGAGAACTTAGTTCTCTGTCCCTAGCACTGCCCAGGTAGGGTTTGGGAGTGGTAGAAACTCAGGACTGGGAAGGGCTAGATCTAATCTGCACCTGTTCTCCCCAGACCTCCAGACTGCTGGAGAAGCAGGCAGTAGAAGTTAAAGACCCTGGGGCATACAGCCTGAGGGGAGACCTATACAGCACTTGCTTGACAAACTGGCTTTGGCAAGACCTATGCTACATACCAGGCCTCCGATGAACCCCTCTAAAAATCAACCAGTGGTGGCAGAAGCAAGGCCTGTGGCACACAGCACAGAGCCTCAGGGTGCTGGCCCACAGCCCTGCACCCCAGCTGCCCCTCCACCAAGCAGGCTCCACCTTTCGCCTAAAGCGGGCAAGACAATCAATTCCCACCTACAGGTTCCTGCCACTTGTCAGTCAGTCACGGAGAAACAACTGTTCCCTGGGCTCTCATTTCCCTGGAGAGGGTAGAAGGGCAAGGACCAGACAGCCTAGCCCCCCCCCCCATCTGTCTCAAAAGGGAAGGGCACAGGCCTTAGGCTGGGCCTTGAATCCTTCAACCCAACCTACTTCACATATTACACTGAATTACCAATTCAGCACCCAATGCACTCAAAGTCCCACACCTAGCAGGGTGGAACATGTGTCGTCCTGTGTCTCTACATGTGGCTCTGGTGGGCTTCCCAGCTATCGCTATGCGGTGCCAGTCATGTTCTGTAGTTACTGAAGGTCAGGAGGGCACCACCACCAACCAAGCCCCCTCCTGCCCACCTGGATCACAGCAGTCGCAAAAATAAATTACTGCTAAGAATTTCGTTTTTAAATGTAGGGCCGGGACAACCTTACTGGCCAAAAAAAACGGGCCCAAGTTGAGTAAGGGGACCCCTGCCCTGAACTGTCTTCACTCTCCCCAGGGTAGGGTGCCTCAGACACCTCTATCCTTAGAAAGCTCCACCTAAGTCTCTACTCTGGGCCCCTGCATTTCTTTCAAGTGGGTCACCTAAAAGGCCCAGCATGAGCAAGCCATGCAGACAAGAGGTCTGGAGAAGTAGCACCAAGAAATACAAACGAAATTACACCTCAAGATGCACACCCCGGGACAGGCTCCCCAAGCCCTGTGTCCTGAGGTCACCACCACCGGCCCAGCTATCAGTACAGGCTCAGTTACAGCTCAAGGGCCCAAGTGCAAGGATAGTGCAACACCCTGAATAACCATGACCTTGCTCCTGCCCCTACCCCCTGGCCCCGCTGGCCAGCCTAAGAAGCAGCTAGGCTGACTGCAGAGTGCCTGCTTGCCCTCCTTGCTTCAGGTAATGGAGTCAGGTGTCCCAGGAGCCGGCCACACATCTGCTTAAAATGTTGCCTAATGAAATTCTAAAGTCCTCAGTAGGCCCTGAGCTGTCTTCCATCCTGAGCTGCCTCAACCACCTTCTTACTGAGGGCTTTGGTGGTAGCAGTAATAAAGTCACAGAGCCAGAAACTGGGTGTCGCAGTGACACCCAAGCCGGAACTCTGGGTAAGCGTCTGGGGGCAGTTTCTAAGGACGCCCGGCAAACAGATTGAACAGTGCACTCCCCACCGGTTGTGTCCTCCGGTTCTCCGTCTCTAGGGAAGGCCTCACGATCCAGGCCTGGAGCCCGTTCCGATCCTATGTAAGGTCTGGGCCAGGTAACCTTCCCCACCTGGAGGTGGAGCAGGCAGAGAGCTGAGGCCCAGCAAGGCGCCAACCCGCTGTGGACCTCTGGGAAGTTTCCGGGGCCGCGTCTCTCGCTTGCAGCGAAGGCGGCGACAAAAGGACCTCAGTAGCTTTACTCTTCTGCTTCCAGCTCTGGGTCCTTCCTCTTCGAGAGCCTGACCACCTCTGCCTGCAGCCTGGGGTTGAGACTCCGAAAGGCTCACGGTGCACATCAGATTCTAACAGTACACAGCACACCCGCTCCATACGTCGTGGATAGTCACGCAGTACGCACACAGCTCATTCGTACCCGCTAGGAAACTACTGGCTCTGTTCGCACCAAGAGGGGTCAGAGGTCATGGGTGGCGCAGGAGGCCGAGGTCAAGGGCAACTGGCCAGGGAGCTCGGCGGGAAATGGGGCTCCTAACCAAGGGGCCACGAACCGCAGAGCTCAGGGAAGCTTGGCAGAGGTTGGAAGCTGCTTTTCCCTGTAGGGTGGGCACGCGGCCCAAGGCAGCCGGGGCCGCCGTGGGGCCAAGTTCGGCAGGGTCCCGATCTGAAAACGCCTGGCTTTGGAAAACCCTCGCAAATCCCACAACCGTTGGGCTCATGCTTTGAGAGTTCGGCTCTGGAAGCCGCGAGGCCGAGCCAGGCAAGATCCAGCCCTGGAGGGGCAGACCGAACGGCCTGGTGATCAGGCAGGGACCTCGAGCCAGCGTGCCGGGAGCCCCTTTCGCGGGCCCGCAGTAGAGGAGGGGGCGGCAGGGATGAGCGACTCGCATCCTCTGCGCACAGCGCTCACCGCTTCGCTGTAGCCGGGCCATGGCCCGGTCTGTTGAAGCCGCGCTTCCCAGGTCGCGGTGCAGCCGGTCCCCACCTGCTAGCTGCAAGGGTCGAAGCCCCCCGGCCCGACTCGTAGCGGATGACGCCTGCACCGGGCTAGGAGGGCGCGCGGGCTGCTCCGATACGCAGTGGCGGTGGTGCGGACAGAGAAGAGTTCGCGGGCTGCGGTGGGGACCGGCCCGCGGCTGACTGTGCTCAGAGCTCCAGGCTCGGCCCAAGGCGGAGCGAAAGAGAAAGTAAGACCCGGGCCCTGGCAGTCTCGCCGGGGCAGTTCGTCCCTTTGGGCCTCACGGGTGCCAGGAAGACCGTGTGCGGGAGGGTCGGAGCGAGGTCAAGTGAGGAAGGGCGGCGGGTCGCAAAGCGGCGGGTGGGACCCTGCTACCGGAGGCACCGGCACCGGGCGATCCGAGCGAACTGCTGGAGTCACAGAGGAGCGCCGGCCACCACGCGGGGCACCACTTGGGAATAAACTTCAGGACTACAGTTCCGAGCGCAGGAAAAAGTCTCCATGTTGCTTCCCCAGTGGCTGCGGCCGTCCTGCCTGCGCCAACCCTGCCTTTGCTCCCGGGGAGCCGGGTGGGCGCCGGCCCGCGCCCCCTCCTCCGCCCCCTCCCCGGCTCGGGGTCTCCCTCCTCTGAGCCCGGCTGGCGGACGCCAAAGGCGGTGCTCTAGCGCCCACTATTTCAAAAGCCCGGAATATGATTTGACCAGGACTGAGAGCCACTCGGAGAGAGAGAGGGAGAGAGCGAGCGAGAGGAAAAGTTACTCTCCCCTTTCGTCAACTTTTCGCTAACTTTCGCTTTTCTCTCCCCTCCACCCCTGGCCCTCCCCCTCCGCCCCCCTCCCCGGCCCCCACCGCGCGCCTCGGGTTCCCGGGCCCGAGCGCCTGACACTGTGGGGGGGAGGGGGTTCGGCGGGGAGGGGGCCGGCGCCTTCGGGGAGCGCGCGGCCCGGGCGCCCCGAGCCTCCGCGCCGAGCCCGGACGCCCCGGAGCACGGGAGGAGGAGCAGCCCCCGGGCCGCGCGGTCGACCGGGGGCCCTAGCCGCAGGCGCGCTGACCGCGCCCCGACGCGCACCCCTGGCCCGGGTACCCCGGTCCCGCGGCCCGGGCCCGGCGACGCGGCGCGGTCGAGCGCGGGAGACTTACTTTTGGCTAGCTTCCTCGCCCTCGCCTTGGATCGCATGGTGTCGGCTCGCGGAATCTCTCTCCTCCTCCTTGAGCCCAGAAGCAGCTACACACTATCTTCATCTCCCTAGCATTGTCAGTTTGGACACCTTCGCACATGCGCACAGAGCACTCAATCTGACACCCCTCGCCGGGGCCAAAAAAACTTTGCAATGTGTTCATCATCCTCTTCGTCGCGCCGCCGCCGCCGCCGCCTCGGCGCGGGATTGGGGGGCTCTCCGATGCCTTCTCGGTCTTCACCTCACTTCTCTCTCTCTCCCCCCTCCCCCCCCCCTTTTCAGTACAGCTCGGAACTGGCCCTTTAAGAAAACATTCCGTGCTCGTCGCTCCCGCCCGGGGCCCGCACCCTGGACACTTTAAAAGGACCCAGGTAGCCCTGGAGGCGAGGTGACTGTCCCCCCCGCCCTGCCCCGCACAGCGCTGCAGCTCCTGCCCCAAGCCGGGCCGAGAAGGAGACTGGCCGTTGCGGTTTTCTGTGCGACTTCCTCGGATTTCCCCATAAACGCGCTGATAGTTCGGACGCGGGTTCGGGCTGGTTTTGCTGCGTTTTATTGCATTTTATTACTAATTAAAAAGCTTTCGTTCGCCGTCGCCCCACTGCGCTCTCCTCCCGAACTCCCCTCGGTCCCTGCCCGCACCCTGCGCTCGCGGAGGGGGTGTCGGGGCCAACGCGCCAGAACCCGGCTCCTCCGAAGCCCCCGCCGGCCGCCGCCCCCCGCGGGCCTCCCGCCCCCGCCCCTCCCCCTCGCCCCCACCCAGTGGCTGCAGCTTCGGGCTCCGCGGCTCAAAAACAAACAGCCGAGGCGCCGCCAGCTCCGCGCTCTGCCACCGCCCGGGACGCCGAGCGGCGCTGGACCCGTCGGTCCTCGGTCGGGCGCGGCGGCTGAGGGCAACGCTCCCCGCGTCGGGGGGGCGGCCGTGCCAAAGCCAGGCGTCTTGTCCCTGGCGTCTCGGGGCGTCCCGCACCTCTGCGCCTCCGGGGTGGGCCCGTGCGCTGCGCTCTGGTCTCCGCGCCCCGTTGGGCTGCTACCGCGGCCCCCAGGTGAGTACCGAGTGCGGAAGCGCCAGAGCTAGGCCACTTTCGGGAGCCGGGGTCCTTTCCCGACACTTCCCTCCGGCTTCTCCCGGCCCAGGTACGTCTTGGGCTGGAGATCCGAGGCACAGGTGGAGGAGTGCGGGTTGGAAAAGATCTGGCGCTTCTGTTCCTGCAGACTTCAGGCTCGGAGTTCAGGCCGGCGAGGGGCCTGGCAGGGCAAGAGCAGGGTGGCCCCAACTGAGAGGCCTAATGGGGTGAGTGTAAATTCCTCCTGAGAGTACAGCTACAATTTGAGTTTGAATTGGAAACAAACGGAGGCGCTGCTGGGGCTGGGTCACTGCCCTGGGCGCTCTTCCCGAATACCAAGGTCCCTCCAGGCAACAAGATTTAGATCTGTCACGGTGTCACCTGAGCCTTAGAAGGGGTAGGCGCCATTTGGGTCTTTCTGCCTCCCAGGTGGGGCTTTTCGCCATCCTCACCCCCTCTTTGTTGTGCAGTAAAAACAGCCTTCGAGTACTGAAATCTGCACGCCGAACCCCGTTAAAACTGCAGTCCCCAGAGAGTACTTCCTATAGACCTGCTCACCCAATGGAGGGTTGCTGCTGGGCCCAAACTACCCAGGGAAAAGCTCCAGAGCGTGCCGAGCCTTCCGACTACCAGAGGCGTCACTTCCCTGCCGAGATTCAAATGTCTCTGTCTAGGAGGAGCCCACTGCTCTGGGTGCCTAGCCCTGCACCCAGCTGGCTGCACAGATGGAGGCCCTGTTGTGGAAGGACCTCACTCTTCTCCCTTTCTCAGTCTCTCTACCTGGGCTTAGTCACAGATCCACTCCTGTGCTAGGCTCTGGAGGTCGTGGTGAGGAACTTCCATGGCAGGCTAAGGCAGTGCGGCAGCTCTGGTGCGTCTTGGAGGGCCCCGCATCTGCTCACCCTCACGGGGTGGTGTGACAGAAGGAGCCCAAGTGGCCTCTAGCCTGTGGGTTTAACCTGACTGGCGGTGTACAGCAGAGAGGGCTCAAGGCCACTCCAGATATCCCTTGTTCACCTGTAACCTCAAAGGCGATCTGGAGAACCCGTGGAAAGATACAAAGACGCTACTTGAAGAGCTCTCTGCAGCAGAGGGCCCTGCAATGCCACTACCCTAGCCCAGCCCTGGCTTCTTTTTCTCTAATTTTAGAGGCTGCCAGAGCTACCCTCACCTACCCCCAGGCAGAAAGGCCAGATCTCTTCTAGGATATTCTAGAGTTTGCTGGAGCCCTCCTTCTGGTCCCCCTCTCTGCTCAGGAGGACACAGAATTCTGATCAGTTTGTACCAGATCAGCTGACCCTTTCCAGTGAAGGTGTGAGCAACGGGCAGTAGCAGTCCATTGACCACCTTGCTCTGAGCTGGGGGATGGCCTGCCCGAGGAGGAAGTCTGGGAACCAAGACTGACTCCCTCCTGACCAAGGAAAACCCCAGGTCCTGCAATTACTCTTCAGTACCTCCAGGTCTTGAAAAGCCAGTGGCCCTGGCCAGGCCCTGCCCCCGCGTGGCCACACTTAAAAGCTGAGAGGTCAGACATGGAGGAATTTCTCGGCGAGAGTGGAAAAGCAAGGGAAATCAGACACAGGTCCCCTTGGAGGTGGTTCTGTACCTCCGTACCACTAAGAAAATTTTTAGCAGGAATGGAGGCCCGACACTGAGAGAAACAAGCATGGGCAAGGAGGGGGCCTGTTGGGGAGATGATTATTACTAAATGTTTTCAGAATCACTGAGTCAAGCTCCGGGGAATTTGGAGACCATGGACTCTGTGGTGAGAAGTGCTGCACACTTCGCTCTCAGTGTGTGTGGTTGGCCAAATGCTCCCTGTGCTGGACAAATGCTATCACTGCCAAGTTCAGGGACCAACTTCATTGCTGGTGGGGGAGGGGTGTGCTAAAGAAAAGACTCCCACCAATTTCTACCAAGAACTGGAGCCAATTATCCCAGGGGACTGAAGAAGGATCAGAAGAGGGTCCTCAGTCACTTAGAGAACTCTGAGTCCCTAAGTTCCTACCTACTGCCAAGTCTACAAGGTCCCTTGGCTTAACCACACCCTGTCCCAGGCCTCCTAGAGGAAGCCAGCCTCTGGAGAGGTACTGGGGTCAGAACTGCATCTTTACCCTTCTTAGACCACCCCCGGGGGAGGGCAGAGATTCACTGCAGCCCCTTGTGCAGCCTTGCCAGTTGTGCCTACCACCACGGGTTCCAGACACTCTGCCTCCACGTGTAGTCCCAGTCCCGTTGTGGTGCCTGTCCCGTAGCAAAGAAAATAAAAGCACCTCTCCTTACTGTTGCCACATGTGCTTGGGGGGGGGGAGCTGGAGGTCCCCTGGAGGGATCTCAATACCACCACCAGTCCTCACCCCTAACTAGCACATGGGCCACCAAACCAGCATAGATGAGGGTCTCTTCACCATGGAGGTGTTTCATGTTTCCATGTCTTTGTTGGAGGTGGTGGTTGGTTACCAATGCATAGATCGAAAAACAGAGCAGAGATTGGGCAGGGGCGTTGGGGAGTGGGGAGGAATAAAGTCGCCTTCCTGCTTGAGGCAAGAAGGAGCCTGCCTGTCTGCAGATTGGTTCTGACTGGTGTTTGGGATGGGTATGAGATACCTAAGGAACTGTCCCCACCCAGGCCTCTGAAGTGGTCCCAAAAGAGTGACTCCCAACACAGCCCTCTACCCTGGAGCCCTTTTCAGATCTCCCCCCCTTTCCCATCTGTCCTCCTAGCTCCACAGAACCTCGATGTGACCTGGATGACCTTGAGAACATGAGGACAGTGGTCGGAACTTCTGCCCAAGGGGTTTTCTCTATGAAAATTTGGCACCTCCAGGGCCAATACCAATTCCTAGGTTCCAAACTGGGTCTCTGGTCCGTGTGGGATGCTCTCAACCAAGACTTCCCAGGAGTATAACCTTGTAGCCTGTGTTGAACAAACCCCAGATGCTCAGAATGGACTTCTTTGGATCACAGGGTGACTTTTGTCGCTTCTTCATTGGCAATGTCCTGGAGGCCTTCGCAAGCATCCTTGCAAGGGTGCTGCAGCTGCCTGGAGACTCTTGCAGAATTTCTGTCTGACTTAGCTTCCTGAGTCCCTGCTGGGGTGATGTATAGGAGACAATTTGCCACTTGCCTGCATACTTGGCAGTGCGATGGCGGTGAGGACATGGTAGGGGGATTGTTTTGTTTTGCTGTAAAGCACTGAGAGATCGGGACTGAGTTCCCTTGTCCTCTTCGTTTGAGTCCAGGAGGGAGTTAGCTTTTAAATCTTTCGAAAATGCTCTCCAGAAGGCGATGGAAGCCCCCAAGGACTCCTTCTGCCTGGAGAGCACCACGTGCAGGATCAAATGCGGAGAAGCCCCGGGCTTTTACAACTGTGTTGGGGCTGTGGCCACCGGGAGCAATAAACGAAATCGGTTTCTCACGCTTTCCCTCTCGATCCGCAAACCTTCGAAAATCCACTAACGAATCTGGATCTATGGTTTGCGCTGCTTGTGTCCTTGAGGCGTGCACTTTTCCCCAACTTCGCAGCAGTGCAGCTAGTAGGTCCCTTCCTTCCGCCCGTGCTCACTAGCAGCAACTTCGTTACAGGTAACGCCCAGGAGCCCAGGAATGAGCTGAGCCCCTCGCGCCTGAGCGGCACCCGCGTGGCTTCCAAGCGCCGCCACACTAGGATGCTCCCGCTTCTAGCGAGCGCGAGCAGAGAGAGCCGGGACAGCAACGAAAACAAACTGCAAGGCTCTCCAGCCTGGCGGCCGAGGCTCTGGAGCCGCTGCAGAGTAGCAGCCTGCCTTCCCTGCCCGGGCGACGTCCAGAGCTAGGTAGAGCAAAGCAACGAAGGCTATGCAACTCATCTTGAATCCGAAACTACATTTCGTTTTGCAAAGTCACCTACTACTTACTGACTCAATGGCAGATGGGCCCGTAGAGCTAACACTCGATTTGGAAACCAAATTTTGTGTTTGAACTTTTATGGCGCTGCACCCCGCAGCTGCAACTGGGTGGTGGGAGCCGCGAGGTATTTCTCCTCCGGTTAGGTTACCCTTCTGTGACTTGGGACCACTTCTCTTCATAGTTATTGTGTGATTGGCAGGCAAGAATGGTTAGTTGCAGGCCAGGCTGAAGACTAGAGGAGGCACAGCGCAGCCTGCCCTCCTGAGCCACGGTTTTAGGCCAACAGAAGTAGTGCTCTCTATCAAGAGAGAGGAATTTTTCTCTTAAGACTCTGGGGCTATCTGTACATCCCTGTGCACTCTCGGCTTCCTCCTTTCTTTTCGGCGGAGGAGTTGAGAGTGTCTCCTCTTGGCCCAGGAAAAGGTTTGTTCTTCTCTTGTCCTCATCGGGGATAGAGTTACCAGAAAAATTAACAAGGCCTCTCCATCCAGGACTCGAAATCCTAAAGAGGGTGTATAGTGTTGTGGGGGCAACAACGGATAGATGCTCTCACTCGGAGCCCTCCCCACAAACACACAAACACATCACCAACTCCCATTGGCTGCTTTGGCCTGGCTTGTGTGGTGGGTACTGGAGAGGAACCCAGCCCAGACTTCAACTACTACAGAACTTCTCCCTCAGTGGGGGTGGGGGGTGGGGGGTGGGAGTCCTGGCCAGCAAGGGAAAAGGGCTCCTTAAGTGATACAGCTTCTCGTCTTTCCTTCCATCCCCAAGACCTCTGATCCAGACACTGAGAGCAGGAGGAAAGGGGACTTCGATGGCCGGGGAGATGCCCAAACCGACTCTGCCTCCTCCCTCCTCCAGTGGCTTTCTACTAAAGCAATAACAGCAGAACAGTGGTTGTGGAGACGTGTTTTGTGAGCCGCAAGAAAAGGGCAGAGACCAGTATGGCCTGAGGCTGGGGGAAAAATTACCAGTTCTGCCAGAGTCACTACAGGTGATGGACTCAGTGGCCCATGTCCTCCAGGGACCAGGTGCCTGCTCTCCACCTGTGCCCCAAGTGGAAAAGCCCAGAAGGACAGAGGCAGCAGTGAATCTTACTAACTTCACTGGGCTTCGTGACCTTGCCTCTCTGGCCTCCTGCCTTCATCCCTCCTGACTGTCGGATCCCAGTTTGTTGCATGGTAGTGAGGCTCTTTAAGAAAGAAACCAGACACCCCTGCATTAGGCACAGTCCAAAGCCCTCCGTGCTACCTCAATGAGGAGTAACTGTGTGTGGAAGCCTAGGGACCTGGGTGAGAATGGCTGGGTTTCATCTTGAGCATCCCCTCACACACGGGAGAGGTGACTTTCATAACTGTAACAGATATACATCGGGTATCCGCAGGAGAGATGCTGTCTACTGAGGAAGGGTGGGTTGGGTCCTGCCCTCTGTTGAAGAATCTGTCCTCTAAGCCAGCATAAAGCCATTTTCATTTAAAGCAGCTTGGCTACTTCCAAGAGACCCCAGGGATCAGGCTTTGTGGACAGGTGAGACCGGGAGGGCCATGCACCTGCATCTTCAGAGATTCTGACCACTCCTACCTTTTGTATGTAATTCTGCCCTAATTGCAGGTGATCTCAGAGGACTAAAGTATAAAGACTGTGGGACCAGCAGGGTGGGTGATTCTGTCTATACAGCTATGGGGACGTTTCTGGTGGTGCAGCTGCTTTGGGAGTCACTCTTACTCTAAGAAACCCTCACCTGTGCTCTCTTGGCTTCCCCAAGTTAGACTGCAGTGGGATTCAGGGTCAGTTTGGAGTCCTATAAGGGGGAAGCACAGGTTTATGTCTCCACAGGAAAAGAGTCCCTTAAACACCCCCAAGCCTATCTTGCATCCCTGCCCTTCTCTGGCAGAGCTGTGAGGATGAGAGCAAGAATACAGCTGTTGTCCTGGGGTCGGGGTGGGGGTGGCAGAGGAAGCTGTGACCCAGTCAGATCACACTTCTTTGGGACCCTCCATCAGCTCCTCCACTCTCCAGAGCTCCTGTTCCCTGGCAACACTAGGTGTGTGGGTGGGAACACCCCCTAGCAGTAGCCTTCTAGGGAGGGCTACACTTCCCAGGAACTCCTTCAGTTCCTGGAGGAGGACAGCAGAGGTAAGAGCTCTTTCCCCTCCTGCTACTTTTTCAATTCCTCTTACAGAACCTAGGGTTTGTCCTCAGAGCTTCTGAGAGCTGAAGCCCTGGAAAGCATCTGCCCCTTGCCTGGACAAAGAGAGGGCAGTGGAAGCCATGTGCAAGGACTCATGGTCCGTGGGGGGGCAGTTGAGCACTCAATGTGGACTTCTCAGGGGTTTCACAGGTCCCCTCCCCAACCCCCCACAGCTCCAGGCTGGCCTGAAACAGGACAAACTCAGCCAGCTGGGCTCTGTGCTTCCTAAATCCAGAACTCCATGGGCAATCAGGAGCCCTCTTCTCTACACCCCATTTGAGGGCTGGGGTGTGGCTGTCTGGGTCGAGGGGAGGCCTCATTTCTGAGCCAATAGCTTTTGGGGGGCTCACCATAGGACTAACACACTGAGGTCATGTCCTGACACACCAGCATATTCTGTATTTGAGCTTCTAGTAAGGCATGTTTAATTATCAAATGTATCACTAGGGGAACAAAACCAGTGTCCATTAAGTGTTCACAAAGCCTGGGCCACATGGGACACATGGTTCTAGCGAGCATGAGTAAGCCAGTTTTCACATTAGAGGAATAACAGTTCTTGTAGCAATGCGGCACTTTTAAAAGAGGTTAATTAATAAACAGCAGGTAATTGTTCATGGCACGATGTGGCAGAGGGTAATTTTCATTTTTGAGGATGGAAGGGCCAGATGCCCCTCCCCACTCAGCATTTCTCTGTAATAATCACCTTGGCTTCCTTCCGCCTTTAATTTTTGCAGCTGGAGCTGTTTATCACTGCTCCAACTTTCACTGAAAAGGCAAAACTATCACTTAAACAAAGCTATTGAAAACTCAGCCTCATATGTGGCTTTCTTAACATAAATAAATCATACAAACCAAGATTTATGTTCAAGGAATGATGTCATTCACTGAAGGCTGCCTTCCCAATCAGATCAGGATTTCCATGTGTGTGTCTGTGTGTGTATATGTGTCTCTGTCTGTGTCTCTGTGATTCTGTCTATCCGCACACTCGCTTTTTGCAAGAAATTACAACCATAACCTTTCTCTAGCATCCTGGATGCTCTCCTGTTTGTCTCGGGTCATCAAAATGGTCTTGCCTGTGTGAGCCCAGCAGAACCAGGTCTGAGTGACAAGAACATTTCACCCTGCAGTTGAGGACAAGAAAGCGGGGCTTCTCTTAAGAGCTCGGTCAGTTGTCGGTTATTGTCCAGGGTCCCGCGGGTCTTTTGACTTTGGAATGAGTACAGTTAGGGGAAACACCTCTACAGAAGCTTAGCCATGCTGAAATGACTGAGGAACTTGAAAGCCATGAAGAGGTAGACAAAAGACTGGACATCCATACAATAGAGTATTGTGTGACCTCCAAAGAGAAGGAGACACTGACCCGTGCTACAAAAGGATGAACCTCAGAAACACAGTGAATGAATGACACCAGTCATTCAAGGCCACCCATCATGTGACTCACATTACAAAGTGTCCAGAATCGAGGCAGACTGGGGGTTGGGAGATGAAGGGAATCTGCCTTGTGGAGTGCCCTCTGATGAAAATGTTCTGTGATGAGCCATGGTTCTGGGTACATGTACTGAGGTTTAAATGTCACCTTCCACCTTACCAGAAGATGAATGTTACAATGTATGACAAACCTCAATAAAGTTGTTACTTACAAACCCCTACTCAGCATTTGAATTTTTAATTAAAATACAGTCACCACGGATATCAGCATTCAAATTCAAGGAAGTGTGTTAACATTTCCTGGCAGACATGAGTAAATACTGTTCACCCCAGTATGGCTCTAAGGACAGACCAAAGAAAGGATTCCACCAGAGTCAAGATTGGTGTCATTTACAGGACCAGGAGCAACTAAAACTTCCCCCTCCTGGCACTGTTACCTCCCGACACTGTTAACTGCACATGTATCCTCAGGGATGGGAATTACCGTGCCCTTATTACACTGCTCCTGAGTTCTCTCTCCCACCTCAAGGGAGCATGGGTCCTAACAGTAACAACTACCCCAGATTAGAGAGAGCAGTGGCCATGTTGTGCCCAGAGAATGGTTTCACATCTCCAAGCTCTTCTTTAAAGCTTTAACTGTCAAAGTGACCACACTAGTAAGGAATGGTCCCAGCATCCTCACACAGTGCAGAGAGCAGTACACGGGCACCAGGGCGACACTCAGGGAAAGGGTGAGCGTATGTGCCTATACCTCACAGCTCTCCCTGCAGCCAGCTGGAGGTTTGAGGTTAACCTTTCCCTTCTTTGATGTGCACTCGTACTCACCCAAAATCAAAGCAAAAGAGGACAGACATCTCCACTGTTTCCAAGGGGTGAGTAAAATGTGCTCCATCCACTCACTGGGGTCCAGTCCGCCATGAACAGGAGGGTACTCTTGTACCCAAACAAGCATGAACCCTGGCACTTGCATGGAGTTGAGGAAAGTCATTCACCGAAAGTCATGTGTGTGATTCCAGAAATGTCCAGAAGAGGCAAAGCCACCAAAATAGAATGTAGATTGGGGCTGCCTGAAACAGCTGGGAAAGCAATGA